TTGTGTCCGGCACTCAATCTTGTGGTCTGTTCTTCTTTTTTTTTTTATTAATTTGTATCTGCTGGAGGTCAGATAAAAAGATGTTTCCCAATTCTCTGCACAGGAGGGATAACAGTTTGAGATAAAAATGTTTTGTTGTGCAATGTGTGTCAGGTATGTGTATATACTGAACGGTGATACAACATAAAATAATGGTGCGTAGGGTCGAGTCACATGATCAGTCACATGATCACTGCAATATCTGTATCTCTCAACATTGATACATTGTAACTTTGTTTCATTACCTGGGGGGAGATCTGTTATCTTCTCCACTTCCTGTACCAAGGTGACAACAGTATCATCACACTGCCCTGGGTTCAGGCTGGCAAGGACACACACCCTGGGGGGCATTATCATGTTGCCCTGGGTTTAGGCTGTCATGGACACATCCCCGGGAGGGGGGCATCATCACATTGCCCTGGGCTCAGGCTGTCATGGACACACCCACTGGGGCGGCATCATCACGTTGCCCTGGGCTCAGGCTGTCATGGACACACCCACTGGGGCGGCATCATCACGTTGCCCTGGGCTCAGGCTTTCACGGACACACCCACTGGGGCGGCATCATCACGTTGCCCTGGGCTCAGACTGTCATGGACACCCCCACTGGGGCGGCATCATCACGTTGCCCTGGGCTCAGGCTTTCACGGACACACCCACTGGGGCGGCATCATCACGTTGCCCTGGGCTCAGATTGTCATGGACACACCCACTGGGGCGGCATCATCACGTTGCCCAGGGCTCAGGCTTTCACGGACACACCTCCTGGGGCGGCATCATCACGTTGCCCTGGGCTCAGACTGTCATGGACACACCCACTGGGGCGGCATCATCACGTTGCCCTGGGCTCAGCTGTACATGTAGTTTTGGAGCAGTACAATGGGGTGATGGGGAGGTTCGGGCGGGCGGGCAAAATGACCAGTTTGGCTGTTCACCAGACTGTGAACAGGCCGGGCTCTGATTGGACGGATTCAACCCAAACCAAAAGCTGATCCCTAATGATAATCGCAGTCACCTGGGTATGAATGGCAGATGGAGAATCAACAAAAATGTATCAAATACTTACATAACGGAACCTCAGCCGAGTGACAACGTCAAATATTACATTAACACGACAAATAAACATTCACACGACTCGTTCTCACCGGAAAGTACAGGAACAGATTTCCATTGCGGGGGACACGCCGGGAGGAAATTCCCCTCAGAATCATCTGCAGTTATCTAGAAAAGCGAAGCAGGGAAAGTTTCCTGCAGCTCCCCCCCCGGGGATATATATATATATGAGTATATACACAAATCAGCTTCTCCAGAAGCAGCGAGCATTGTGGGTAAAGGACCATCACTGGATTCTGGAGGACTGTATCGGGTTGTAATATTATTCAGTCTATAAATTCCTTTTCTTATGTCACATCATTTATTTATTATTTATGAATGAAGAGGAAGCTGTCGGCAAAGTGACAGCTACAGGGGGTCGGGACAACCCCTGCAGAGGCGTCCCGAGGCGGGGTGACACCTGGTGCGGGTACCAAGTGACACCCCGCATCGTGACGACGTCACGCGCGGTACCACTGTTACCGGCCGGCGGCCATCTTGGTGAATGACGCCGGCAGAGAGAGGAGGGGACGTCGCCTGGCGGGATGAGGTATGCCGCCGGGTCCCCTCCTCTCTCCTTAACCGAGTGCCCGACTTTTCAGAGGGGGGTGACACCAAAATGACTGTTAGTCATTTAGGTGTCGCCCCTCCAATGGTGTCACTCAGGTGCGGGCCGTACCCCCGCACCCCCCCCCCCTTGTGACGCCCCGGAACCCCTGTGCTTTAACTACAAATCCCAACATGCTTCTGCCTCTGGGAGTCGTGCCTGTGGCTGTCAGGGTCTTGCAATGCCTCATGGGACTTGTAGTTCCGCAGTTCTCCACCTCTGGGCTAAGAGAACCTGTGCATCCCGCAGCTCCTTGTGCCCGGGGCCGTCCCTACCTTTTTCACTGCCTGAGGCGGCCAGGAGAAGGGGGTCAAGCTGTCAGTTGGGTGGGCGTCGGAGCTGTAAGCCGGGCGGCCGAACTGTCAGGGAGAAAGGGTGCTGTTAGTCGCTCCTGCAGTGTTCCCCCCTTTTCCCCCCGCTCCTGCAGCCCCTACACCTCATTCTGGGGACCTGCTTGTGCCTGTTAGCATAAAGAGGGCCCAAGAGGAGCATTGTGGGCGCTTCACATCATTAGAGACTACAGAGAGTGTGTACTCAATCAGACAGATCCTGTCTGATTGACTTGTGTTGAGATAAAATGATCAGCAGGACACAATGACTGGTAAGCAGGAAGCAGAGACTGCGTATGTAATGAGCACATATGACACCCAGGTGACACCATTGGAGGGGTGACACCAAAATGACTGACTGACATTTTGGTGTCACCCCCTATGAAAAGACGGGCACTCAGTCACGGACCGAGAGCCGGACAGTGTCAGGAGAGAGGAGGGGACCCGGTGGCATACCTCATCCCGCCGGGTGAATGTCCCCTCCTCTCTCTGCCGGCGTCCATCACCAAGGTAGCCGCCGGCAGGCGTCAACAAGACGACCGCGCATGCGCGATGACGTCACCCGGCCTCGGGACGCCTCTGTATATAGTTACAAAATATACAAAGGGGCGACAATTCTAAAATATTTAAAGTGCAAAAACCGAGGGGTCAGGAGGCGCCTTGACATAAATTGCACTGACAGCTTACAGACGTATATCTCTTTATGTCTTAAAGGGTGTTTCCACTTTTGCAGCCAAATTTGGTGAATTATTATAATTATTTGGTGAACACCCCTTTTCTATTTGTTACTTACAGCTAAAAAAAGGAAACAAATATGTTTAAAAAAAAAAATAATTTTTAGTTATGCTGTGTGAATGGGAACACATAACAAACACCTCTGACTGCACGAGTGGAAAGATACTTGAATAAAACCTCAAAAGAGTGTAGTCTCCCTTTAAATCATTTGTAATTGTAATGCCGCCCTCTGCTGGTCGATCGCGTCGTAGCGCCGGGGACATCGCGGTGTTATCAGCGGCTCGATCGCGATGCTCCGTCCAGATAATTGTTACTCAGTTCCTCCAGCGCGATGCTGCAAACGTCCAGCCATAAAAAAAAACAGAACTTCAAGTAATCTGTACCGTGCAGAAGAGGAAGAGGAACTCCTGCTGCCGTAATATAAATGTACCGGGCACAGCAAGACGCAATGTAAAAATAAT